CGTCTGCCTCTCAAGTGCTCTTAAGTGTAAAAATATGGCTTTAGTGGATGATTTAATGAATAACAGTCTTGATGCAGATAAAGAGCCAACAAAGCTAAACTGAGTTTATTAGTTGCCTGTGGCATTCACTTCTTCCTCAAATACCAGCCTGATGGTTTTGCATCCTAACAAGCTTTGAAGGCTTTGAAACGATGACTACGTTGGCCTAGTTTTTGCTCTTTTTCCAGCCCGTCAGGTCTTAAACATTAGGATTTTTCAGGTAAAAAGAATAGCACCGCTGTATACTTGAGGAGCTGTCACCTCTTTGTGTCTTTCACCCAAATTATATAGTTATAATTATATAATTATACTCCTGAGTATCTCACCTGGTCGATAGTTTTATCAGCTGGGATTTTGAGACATCTGAAATAAAAATTCTGTCGAGGTTTCCTAGGATGCCCCAAAACATGACTAACATGACTATTGCTGTAACTGCAATGCCAGTAGAAAAAAACCAATCGACAATGTCCTATGTGGACTAAGTAGCTGTTAGATCTGATATCTTAAAATCCACAGCAGCTAAAACCAAATCCTCATCCCTACATATGTGAGCAAAAATGCCATTCTTGTCCTTTAATCACACCACAGTAGGCCTTGAAAAATATGGAAATCCAGAAGAGGTGCCAGGAGAGGTCTGGTGTAAAGATTTGTGAAATGACCTTCACCTGGGAAAATTAATGCCTTCAAGTGTTTATGCATATATGCTGGAATGTTTCTTGGTAATGACACGATTAGTATACATGTCGACCTTTACATTCCTTGGCTTTGACACAGTATGGTACAGACTAAATGCCCCCATCAAGACATGATTTATGACACATGGCACTAAAACAAAGTGGAATGTAGCTTTTAGATGCACCGGAAAGTGGAGACACAATGACAATTTTCAAGACGGAAGGACCGTCTACCACAATAACAGTAAATGGCAGTACACTGCAATGAGATGAAGTACCTGCAGACCAATCGTTACCAATCCTCTGTCAAACACACCTGTTACCTGCTTATCCTGAGTCAGACTTTTATTTGAACAGCCACACGGGGGTGTCGTTTCCCTGGTTTATAAAGAGGGCCTCTCATAACAACTAAGATACCATAAGGCAAAGGACTGCAGCGAAAACTATTGAGATTATAATTCAGATTTCATATAGATTGTCACAATTGTGAAATTCGCCCTTTTCTCCTTTTTGGTCAAAAATTCAGACTTTGGCTTTGGGCTCTAACCGATGAGGTCTTGTGGATACACACTGGGTTCAAAAGTGAATTATCAGGACCAAGAAATCCAAACACACTGTCAGACAGATCCATTTAGTCCAAAGTCCCAACAAGGTGTTCAACATCATCTGTAGGTGCCGGATAAAATTTCCCATGGTTTGTTGCTTTTAGTATACAACCATTCTCTTTTAAGTCCAGATCTTGAGGTATCATCCAACTCCATGACTGGACAATGAAACATCACTTACCCTCTGACAGGTAGTAAGATGAGATGTGAAAGGACGTGGTAAAGGCAAAGTACAAATAAGAACACAAGAAAAACTAAAAAACAAACAACCCAAACAAACCCCAAAAAAACATGTGGACTAGTGCTGCAGTGAGGAGGAGGAAAAGAAGGCAGGGAGAACAAAAAGAGATGGCGAGGAAGACCCGGGTTTATTGTTAGTGTTCTGAGTTCTTGTGGTAGAGCTGAGTGACCTGGATGACGGGAGGAGAGACGCTGAGCGACGGACCGCACCAACAGGCAGAGGATCGCACAGGCTGGACCTCACACCTGCCACTGGAGAGAGGGAAGTCAGAGCAGAAGAAATACACTGAGCACGTGACTGAAGGTAACGGGACGAGAGAACATCAGGCAACACAAAGACAGACAGACAGAGATCCAAAGAGGAAATGCAGATGCGAGAGACTAGAATAGCTCAAAGTGTGAGGCATTGATGTGGGGAGACCGAGACATCAAGTTATTGATGCCGCAGCACCAGAATACTGCACGTACAGGTCCCCTGAGAACACAGCGAGACAGGCTTTCTATCCAACTCTATATAGCATCTGTTAAAACACAAGTGATAACAGATAAGGACATCAGGACTGTTTACATCCCGTCTACATCCTCAAACATCACGTGCACTCACAAAGCATTATATACAGTAGTACTTTTATAGAAGCTGTCAATCCAACAGACGAGAATAGGAAGAAAGAAAAACCTGCACTCGCTCAAATCCAAACACCTACAATGGTCATGTAATGAACATACATCACCACGTGAAAAAGAGGCACAAACACCATTTGTTAGTCATATGTGATGCAGGAGTGCAGTGCAGCACAGACAGAAGAGAGGACAGGACGTTGGAGTACAACAAATACACACCACAGCTGGGGCAAAATCAATTTCAGGTCACTTGCTTTAAAACTAGACTATTTTTAAACACATCCTTTAACTCAAATAGTTGTCCCTTAAAAAGCATAATCCTCTGACAGGTTTAAATCAATATGTGGTTTGTTAAGACTGGACTTTGATCAGGAGACATTTTTCTGAACTAGTTTTACTGAAAGTGAAATCACCCCAACCCGGAGAAACATCCCGACTCCGAGCACTTTAAAGACAGGTTTGTTTATTTTTCAAATAAATCTTAATACAGCACTTACATGTAATGTGTGCAGCTCCGGGGAACACGGGAATTAAACGCACATTTACCATGTGAGTGCTGCACTTAGACCGACTTGAAAGCAATCTGAACCCATCCTTAAACACGCCAACATCATTAAACATGACATCTTTACTGTGCAGTTAGCAGTGGGATGCATGTTATTGGTAAGAAGAACAGAGTGGGGGGAGGAAATAGTATGCCACAGTGTTAGCCTGCTGAGCTGCAATTTTAAGTACCTCACACGTTATGGGGCTCTTTATTTTCACATTGGGGCAGCACTGCTGTGAAATATGAGAGTGAAAAACAAGTGAAAACATTTTTTAAAAAAAGAAAAGGAGAAAGTGGAACAAGGTTTAGAATATTAATGGTAATTATCTTCTCCTTAAACCAGAAACATCTTCAAAGACATGCATACGCTATTTTTTTTTTTTAAACATAACTACATTTACACACTAGTGTGTGCCGTCTTTATGACTCTTGTGTGGGTCTGAAACTCATCACTGAAACTTTGGCATTTGTATTTCTTGATTTCAAAATACCAGAAACATAAAAACAGCCATTATTTGGTAAATAAGGTCCAATCCTGGAATAAAAAACAACATCTGAGCAGTGATGAGAACCACAGTTCAAACCCACAACGCCCATTGTAGTGAGAAAACAGTGCAAACACCAGAGCAGATTTCAGTATTCATTCCCAGCAACTGAACAACTTCCTTTCTGCGTGATGTTGATTTTTATTTTTCGTGTTTCTTTAAAAGTGTAAACGTCATCCTACTCCTTTTTGAGCATAAACATTGTGTGGATTTAGAGATATTCATGACAACTTGATGTCTTTACTTTTTTGTTTCTATTTACATGTTCGAAATTTAACTATTCTACTGACAGTAAAGCACATTTTTTAAATTCTGATATTAAAACGGTTTTCTACTTGCTTAAAAATGTGAAAACCTTTTCCATGAGGAGGAAAGATACACTGAACCTTGCACTCTGTGAGTCTTACTCCTATGAGATCAGTAAATACTGTCATTTAATTAAATTAGGTTGTAGAGGATGAAGTAAGAGAGGTGCACACTCTTCAGGGCCTATAAATCAAGTTCTCTGCTGTGCAAACCGTTTTCACCCTGATCAGTCGCAGAAAACTGCACGTCCAAATCCTGCAAATCCTTTATTTCACACTGCTTTACTTAGTAAATGGTCACATTTTAATAATGAGCTTTTGGTATTTTCAGTCATCTCCAGTTTACTACATTAACTGCAGTTGTAAATCCAACACATCATCACATACATGGCCTTTGTATGGTTTTATTAACTCCAGATTATCAAGAAAGACAAAAAACATGCAAGTTTTGTGCAAGACAGACAAAATCAAATGGACTGAAATACCTTGCAAGAAAGCCTGTTAACCTTACGAGAATGCTCCTTAAGGTGGTTTAAATTCACAAATGAACCTTGCCCCTCGACCTTTGATCCACTTTTGAAATAAATGGAAAATCTGCTTTAACTTCGATGTTGTGGCAGCATAAACAGATATAATTCTGTGTAAATCACATGAACTTTGGTTGGTGTCAGGAGCACATTAGAGGAGTAGTAGATCAAACCTACTCCTTGTTTTATCGTTGCCATTTGTGGTTTATGCGAGCATCTCTTACCCGGTGTCTTCAGGGATGTCCTGATCGGCCTCTGCAGCAGATGACTCCACATCTGCACTGCTCTCACTGCCCTGAGCTGACAGCCGACATGGAGACTCTGGACTAACACACTCATCGCTGCAACAGAGATTCACACACACATCCAAAAGGTCATTCTCCTCTCACTTGTGAGACTTTTGTGAATCTCTCTAAGGATGCATACGCTTGTGTTTATCTACTGACTTGATATGCTTTTCCAGTAGTAGGATGGCTTGCTCCCTCTCCTCCAGTCTCCTCTTTAGGGAGGCAATCTCCTTTTGTTTCTCTAGCAGCTCCTTCTGAAGACGATAGTTGCTCTCCTCCAGAGTCTCACAGAACGCCTAGAAGGAGGGGGAAAATGAGGAGCAGAAAATATTTACAGCTTTACGTGGTCAAAATACCACATAGATAACAACAATGGGGTTTCCTTCAGAAGTCCGTGAATTGAAAAGGCCCAGCGGGCTGTGAGGTCTGTGCCAAAAGCTTCAGCATGCATTTGATGCAAATGGAGAATTTTGTGTTACGTTACTGATCCTCGTCCAATTTTGTAGCCAGCATCCTTCCAGTTTCACGTTTTTGGCTAACAGAGTGACTGAAGCAGAATATTTCAACCCCCATATTTAACAGTGGACAGCACATTATTTTCATCAAATGCAGCTTTGTTTGGTGGCCAAAGAGCTCAGTTTGAACCTCATCTGTCCACAGCAAGTGTTTCCAAAACAACGTGATGTTCTCGAACTTCCAAGTCAGGGCCAGGATATTGGGCAGGAATTAATTTTTCAATTTAGAGACTTGATCATTTTTTAAAAAAATAATGTGAAGATATTATAGAGATGGACCGATCCGATATTACCTATCGGTATCGGTCCAATACTGACCTAAATTACTGGATCGGATATCGGAGAGAAATAAAAAATGTAATCAATCCATTAAATATCAGGAAAGCACCTCACTTTTCACAAAACTTGCTACATGGCGTAACTCGGCTCATAACCTTAGCGCGTTGGAGCAGTATGCGTCACGTGATAGAGCGGCTGTGGCGTGCGAGACCTCTCAGCGGTCTGGTTGAGCATTTGGAGCCTCGCTACCAAACCGGCATTTCATCTCCGAGGAAGTTATCCCAGAGAGAAGTAAAGCAAGAGTGTAAGTTCATCTCTGAATGCTTGTAAAGCATTCCCACGTTAAGATTAACAACCGATATATGGAGCGACTGCCTCTCCTTCCCTCTCCTGCTGCTACTTCAATCATGAAACTGATCAGCTGATCGGCCTTTCTGTCGCGAGTCCGTCTCTCTTGTTTGTTTATTGCTCACTTCGCGCCAGAAAGAGGAAACCAGCAGCTGAACAACAGCAGCACGTTTAAGCTTGATAAGCTGTTGTTAGAATTTATTTAATATTACTTTCTAGACCAGGATCTTTTTCTACGCAGCTGACGGCTGGTAACTGTGCAGGGGCGGATCTAGCAAAGTTTAGCCAGGGGGGCCGATAGGGCATGAACAGGGAAAAGGGGGCACAAAGACATACTTTTCTTTCTTATTCTCATTTAAAATGTCTAGTTTTTAATAATTAATTATCAGAGTCTTACACCCAAAGTTTTAATCAGATGTAAAATGTATAGAAGTCCATGACTGTATATAGTAACTATTAAGTCTAATATACCCTAGTAAGCTATAGTACTTTACCCTTTGGGAAGGTACCATCTGTGCAGTCTGCAATTCTGTTGAAGAAAGATGTTGAATCTATTTAATTATTGAGGAAAAATAATTGACTTCTGTGCATATTTTTTTTTTGGCACGTGCATTAAATTAAAGTTGATTACATCGATTAAGCATCATGAGGTGGAGGGTGGGGGATGGTTCCCTATTTTTTTTCGCTGGGAGTTTGCAACCCTATTGGTTAGGTTGCTTAATATTTCCACTAAGTACTCTTTAAAATACCAGAATAGGGAGGATAGACTAGGTTTAAGTTTATTAGATTGATCTGTATTGCTGAACTATGAAATATTTTGGGTGGAGTGCATTTTTGGCATACAGGTACAACAGAATAGCTTGAGTGTTTTTTTTAAAACTTGAGTATGAACTTATACAAAATGCAGCAAGATATAAAAAAGTTTTTTTTTTATTTTTTAAAAATACACTATATCGAATTCATATCGGTATCGGCAGATATCCAAATTTATGATATCGGTATCGGACATAAAAAAGTGGTATCGTGCCATCTCTAGACGACATATACCATCATGGTTTAGGCACCTGACATCTCACTGCACTGTCTTTTGTGATGAGATTAAGGGTTTCCTTTCCATAACTTTTCATGTTGGCTCTGTTTGCTGCAAAGTCCAAGAACAGTGCTCAGTCTGTTAGCTGCTTTCAGGTTCTTTCATATGAGATTTTCAGTTGCCAGATGTAGCTTCCTTAATATATTCCTTAATGGCAGGGATAAACAAATTGCAAAACAGCTTTAAAACTAAGAATGTCCTGATTCAACTGGGAGGAATCACGTCCTTCTAAATTTGAATAACACCAGAGATAATGATCAACTTAAAAGGCAGAGGACAGCTACATGTCCTGTGTCTATCCTGGGACAAGATGTGGAGGAGGAGTAGAAGTACCTGACGCTCAAAAGCTTCAGCATCCAACTTACACATACTCTAAATGCACACTCACCCTGCTCTCCTCCAGACTGTCAAAAGGCCCAGGTGGATCATCGAGACACAGAAACTCTCTCACCAGCAGGCTGTCAAGAACAATAAATGATGTAAGATTAGAAAGATTAGAAAACAGGTCAGCTCACACTGATATCAGTTATCTTTTTAGCTATGCATATATTTTCCACATACCTCTGATGGAGCTAACACAAACTAAGAGTTATGGCAAGGTTTGTCTGCAATAATGACCCAGCATGACATAAAATATGGCCCAGTAACATTTTTATTATTAAACATAATAGGCTCACATACCAGTTGGCGATGTCCTTGTGTGCAACCAAGTTTTGCAAAAAAGCTTGCAGTCCTAGCTGTCTGTCTTCCAGGAAGTTGCTGTCATAGTTGTCTTTGAACCAGCGCTTAGGAGGCAGTGAGAGGCGGAAGCCTGGAAACATCTCCTTCAGCTGGAACAAATACACACAGACACACACAGTGAATGATTGCCCTTACATTCAGCTACAGGCTGTGAGGGCAAAGACAGTCATGTAAGGGCCGTGTAGACATAATGCAGAGATAAAAGTAATAAAGTTGGTGGCGGGCCAAGAAAAACGCTTCCAGCCCACGAAGCAAACACACTCTTCGTCTAGATTTTGTGCTCGGATCAAACCTGCATCCAAACAAAAGAGCACAGGTCTGCTACTTTCTGATCTATATACCTTACTAAATAACCAAATCACAGAAATGTCATAATCAAAAATGTCTTTCACAATAGTCTGTCATCAGATTGCCACATTTTTATTTTCACGTGCATTCAAGATACAACCATACATCCAAAAAAACAAAATTTCAAAATGAGCTTTAAATCTCATGAGCTTTTTTAATCACGCAGGTGAAAGTCCAGATTTGTGTTCTGCGCTGTGCTGGTGTCATATTACAGACTTTATGCATTTTTGGTGCAACTACACATTTCTTAATGCGTTACTTACCACTGTGTTAAATCAAACATGAATTCTTTCTTGTAGTGAACTTGGCTTCAGTTGCAGCAGAAATGCTTTCCTCACAAACTGTTCCCACGGTCACGGGTGGTGAGACGTACATTACCTCTATTAATAAACCTATTATTCCAGCTTCATTCTGAGCTTAAGCTTTGATAGGATATATGCAAAGTGTTTACATGCAAAACCAGACTGTTTGTAAAATGTTCATAGCTGCATAGTGAGTAGGAGGCTGGAAGAGTTTTACATGAAAACTTGTTGTGTGAGGTTTAATATAGCTTGGACACAATAGGTATGTATACAAGTGTGTCTGAAACATTAGTATACAAATAGAAAGCACATGAGTTTTGCTGTGGTTATGCAAGGTGTTTCCCATACATGTTGCCAGGTTGGTATTTCTGAGGCTACATCCACACTAGCCCGGATAGATTTGAAAACTGCGTTTTTGTCTGAAAATGCTCCGCATCCACACTAGCGTTTTCAGTCGTTTTCACAAAGTTGTGCGCCAACATTGAAATGGCCAAAAAGGCCTACGTTCCAGTACTGTGCAAGCGTGAAACGCAAGAAGATTCGACCTGCCTCATTTCTGTCAGCCGTTTATTTACTTTCCGGCTCTTTGAAAAGTTGCACCAAAATGTTGAGGAAAAGCACCTAGTTTTTTAAATGGACTAACAATGAAGTGGAGTTGCTGCTGCGAGTAACACAAAAGTACAAAGTTGCAGAAGCGAGTGAGAATTAAAGAATTTGAAAAAGCTATCTGGATATATCTTTATATATCTTTAATAGGGCTGTCAAAATTGAGAGCAAACAAAACAACTGCTGTATAATCAGGGGTGCACATAAGTGGTCCGCAGGTGTGCGTGCACTGTCAAAATAAAAGACGCGAACCAGATAAGTTACAACGCGCGTTTGCGTACATAAGATTTTCTGGAGGAGGACAGACATTTGTTTAGAACTCTTTGTTTAATTGGTCACATGACTGCATCATATGACTAACATGCATCTCCGTTTTTGCTGTCCACACTGCGATGCGAAAACACCGTTTTGAAAACGCTGTTTCAGTGTGGACGGGAGGCCAAAATGGAGAGAAAACGATGCATTAGTGTGGACGTAGCCTGAGATCCTCACTGTCACCTAGGACTGCCTACTTTCTTTGGAGCATAGAACAGTTTCTATAAAAGGTTCTGCCTATCGATTTCAAGAAAAATGACAACATGTTGCCAAATGTTTCTGCTGAATAAACATACAACCTCACTGTATCGTGCTAAATTCCCTCTGTTGAAGTATTCAACATTTAGGACAAGTCTGGTGATATTTCTGACTGTATGTAGAGAGGTTTAGGAGACATTGTGTTAATATGTGGTCCCAGTGTCAATTTACTCAGAGGGAGGTGGCCTGGGGTGTGTAAACATGTATGCAAACCTGTCTGCTTTCACCATGCGATTAAACTTCACAGTGAAGCGATGCTGACTGAGGTCTGAACCTCAAAATAATGTTTGTGATGAACCACCCTGTACAGAGTCAGTGCTCTATTATACAAACCATACTATACAGATCATGCTAGGTATTTCTGCCTTGTATTTGCTGGTCCCTCTGAAGCGTTCACTCACGGCAGCCAAGTACTCTCATCCCTGTAACATTTTCAAGGTAGAGCTAAAAAATGTAATACTAACAGAATAATCAAAACAAACTTCATACTGACAGATTTCCAAACTGTGATCAGTCTCATTGATACAAACATGTTCTCAATGAGACGTCCACTGATGATTACTGTGAGCTGCTTTTAATAGGCTTAAATTCTTCAAACCTTACACCTTTTACATGATTTCTCCATCCATATAGTATTCTCATATAATAGTATTTCTCCTCTGTTAACTGTGATTATATACTCTGAAAACCACAAGAGACCAGAGCTCCTAGTTGGCTCGGGCCCGCTGGCGGCTTGGGAACAGTAGGCTTCTTTGTGTAGCTCTAATCATGTTCACTGAGCATTCAACAACTAAAGAAAGCTTGCTGAAAGCAGAGGGATTGATAGTCGAAACCAGTTGTGGCAGGATTATAATAAGGTTTACCCTCATGTAGTTTTCCAGTTTGGGACAGCTCATTTAATCCCATGCACAGACAACACACCCAAACACACCTTGTCATTGAGTCTGGAGAAGTCAGCGTATCTTCTGAAAACAACCCAGCTCTCATCTAGAGTCTTTCTCACCAGGATCTTATACACCTGCAGTAGAGAAAGCTGATGTTAATAACTGCTCACCATGTTTGCTTTAGTGTTTAGTCACTAATAAATACAGACTAAATGTAGCACAGACAGCGGTTGCCATGCAAACTAATTTTCTGGATTCCTACCGTGAACTTGGCCCTCTCCTCCATGACCTCATACCCCAGCACAGTGGGGGTGATAGGCCTCTCCTCAGCTTGCTGGCTACCACTAGGATCCGATATAGACCGCGGACAGCTCGAGTATTCGACAGATGGTTCCAGAGTCCCGTTCAACTTAGCCCGTGTCACAGGGCTCTGAAGGGGTGGGGGCGTTCGGCTGCGGCCACCCCTGTCCGCACAGCGAGACTGACGTTGGGAATCTAATTCTCCGCATCCGACTCCCCCATGTTCCTCCCCAGCCATCTTGGCGATTGAAGACGAAGACTCTGAGCTGCTGGAGACGCTTCCCAGCGATGAAGCTCGCTGCGCTCGTCTCAGCTTGTTGCTACCACGGGACAAGGCTCTGTCCATGGGCACAGGAACAGGCACAAAAGGTGATGCCATCTTCCTGAGTTGTGTACTCCTGCCACACCACCATAGAAGTCAATAAAGCTTTTCACGCCAAGCTTGTCTTGGTACAGTAGTGTTGTGTGAGGATGAAGTCTAGCAGCAATGCTGAGCCTGAAGGGCCGACATTGAAGACTCTATAGAAAAACAACAACAACAGGAGTTATTAGGTGTAACATTATATGGAGGATCATTACACTGCCTCTAAATAATCTGTATTTAAAACCTAATCTACTTAATTCGCCCTGAGTCTACATAAATGTGGCACAATCTGTCAAGTACCTCACAATACCAGGGCACGTGAATTATTGACACGAGCCCCATATGATTTATAATTTATGAATTTGTGTATTATGTGTAAAATTCATTATGGTAAAAGCCTGTAAAGATTAGATTCACATGTCAACTTGATCCTAAAAGAGAAAGGAGAAGAGAAACAGAGCTGCATGTTGGTTTTGATGAAAGAGAGAGGCCAGAGAAATCAGCAGCTACCTGTCTATTTTGTTCGTGTTAATTCAGCTTCAGAGCTGCTCAGAGAAACCAGTCAATCCACTCCATAGGAGTACAAATGAAGAGCGATTGAGAATACTACTGACGTACTCGTAATGGGAATATACGCTGTAAAAATATAGCGATTATAAATAAAATCTGGCAGGCAAAAGTGGGAAAAAAATAACTCAGCAGCAGAAAAAGGATGAAAGGATAGATGTAAGAAGTAAACACAATGAGACATGTCATTTATGGCTCTCACTAATTGACAAGTTCCTGCTGCTATTTTGGTGAAACACGGCGAAAACGCTGGGACCGCAGCCAGCGTTACAACAAAACACGGGCTTTCTGCTTCTAAAAATAGCATTTATGCTTCGTAAACATAAATGCCATTTTTAGACCAAGTCGCTAACGATATAGCTACCCTCTATGTTATTTTAGCAAGCAAGCTAACCGCATTCACGACGTCCTTTCTGAGCTCTGAGAACTTCATTAACAAAACATGGTCGTGTAATAGTGTTAACCCGCCTTTTAATTTAGGGAACTACTATCAGAAAACCACAAGAGTACAGTTTATAAAACGTTACCGTTCTAACCGTCACAGTTAGCTACACTTTAACATGAGCTAACACTAGTTAGTTTCACTACAACACAAAGTACGCTAACAACAATTTTACTGATATAATAGCTGTTTACAACAACAATTAAATGCCGAATGCAGCAAGAATTACCAATACTGCGTCGGATATCTGTTTTTATTCTCCTGGAAGCATTTTTCCCAATAATAAACAAACCAACAGTTAAACAGCCCGGTTTTAAACCGTGTTTGGTGCGTCCCCCATCCCACTGAAAGAACACCGGGCATGTATCACATTACATTCAGGTTAGCTAGCGAGCTAAGACGGAGAGCATGTGTGGGCAAAGCTAAGATGACCCTGAGTGAAAAGGTCTTTCGCTTACCGTAGGAGTCCAGATATCCTTCTCTGTCCGAAAATATGTTTACTACAGACATAGAGCTAAATGTGTAGTTGCCCCGTGGCTGTTAACCCGCCGCCGTATCTCCTCCCTCTGTGTTTTCATGTTAGCATGCTGGAACTCTGACCACAATGACGGCAGTACCTTTGGATAACCAGTAGAGTGCGCAGTAACACGCTTAATACTATATAGAAAATGTAATTCATCAGCAAAAAAGTAGACACAAGACATAGAGGGATTTGAAACAGGTACTATCAGAAAACACACACAGACACACACACAAAGGTTTTAGGCAGGTAGAAAAAATGCTGTAAACAAGGAATGCTTTGTGTTAATCATTTATTTTCATCAATCAACAAAATGCAGTGAATGAACAAACGAGAAATCTAAATCAACTCAATATTTGGTGTGACCAGCCTCTGCCTTCAAATTAGCATCAGTTCTTCTAGGTACACTTGCACACATCTTTTGAAGGAACTCGGCTGGTAGGTTGTTCCAAACGTCCTGCAGAACTAACCACAGATCTTCCGTAGATGTAGGCTTCCTCACATCCTTCTGTCTCTTCATGTAATCCCAGACACACTTGATGATGTTGAGATCAGGGCTCTGTGGGGGCCAGACCAGTACTTGTTCTTCTTCTTTACACTGAGGATAGTTCTTAATGGCTTTGGCTGTATGTTAGAGTCATTGTCCTGCTGCAGAATACATTTTGGACCAATAAACAATCATTTATATTTCTGAAAGCATTCTCTCTCCCTCTCTCTCCCTCCGTGTGTGTGTGTGTGTGTGAATAATTTAAACCTGTGAAGAATCATTCCATAGAAATACCTGATTCCTGGAACGAGCTGAATGACCACATGGCTGGTTTTTCAATGTCATTGAACTTGCCACATAGGTTGACACAGAGAATGAACTCTCCAAGTCCACTTTGACTTATGTAGCAAAATCACACACACACACACACACAAATTTATCTTTCTAAAGCTTGCACCATAACACATTATGTTATGCAAATCAGTGTGGTTGGTTTTTGAATTCTGAAATAAATAAGAGTACTGTGGTGAATAACCGCAAAGACATTTTGCATTTTGTCATTTTTGTCATCATGTAGTAGAGTGAGAAAAAAAATGTGTGCAAATATGGTTTAGAATACATCAAACATTATCCAAATATTTTCAGTGTAAATGGACAAAAGAGTCCTTTCAAATGGCATCTACTGGAGCGCTTCCAGTCTTTCTTCTTCTTTTTTTTTTGGATTAGTCATTCTGTGATTAATTTAAACGAGGAAAATTTTAAAGAGATTCCCTTTTAATGTCTTCTTTAGTAATGATCTCTTTGTATGATTGGTCATCACGCACCTACCCACCAGACAGACTCCTGCATGTGAAAAATGTGACTCATTTGCACAGCATCTCAAACACACCTCACATATAAACATCGTAAACAAAGAACAATTTGTATGGAGCTGCTTCTAAAGATTATTAAATAAACTATCAACTATTACTTGCACTTTGTCTTCTTCTTAGCATACATTTATCCATCCATCCCTTTTCTGTATGAGTTTTTTCTTTTCAGGGTAACTTGAGGAAACGGGTCCAAGACACACCCATTGGCACTAGATGTGCACCCATCAGGGTGGGTGCATGTTTCACTAATGGGTGTGAGCTCTCAATTATTTCTCATGAGCCTGGGTGTGTCAGAGATGGCTCAAAAACTGCGTCATTTAACTGAAACAGTCTGGATCATTCCTTGAGTCAGAGGAAGATTTTATGTCAGTAAGTAGAGGATGTACCTCATTGTTACTGGAGCGTCAGGATAAGAAAGGTAACAGAGAAAGGTAACGGTCAAACTTTACGCGACTAACAGCTCTTCTTTCAAACCTTCTGATACAGTTTATCAGGATCAACAGACATTTAAAGGTAAGTGAACATTGACAAAAACTTTGGTAATGTTGCAAATTTTGTGTTTTATACATGTTCCCTTTTTATTCAGCTTATTCTCTACATGTTTCTGATGGAGAATCATAAACATTTCATAAGTTTCTTTTATTGGGAAACAAATCAAATGTGACCCTTCTTATCTTCTGAAATCCTCCTTGACATCAGCTTCTGGGCTAGATCCTGACTGATGAGGACCCATCCCTGCCTCATCACTGCACTTTTAAGGATTGATCATAGATTATAGATCAGACTGAGATCCAAAGAGTTTCCTGGATGCAAAATATTAATTTGATTATCTCCAAGCTGCATTGTTATCACTTTGCCTTTTGCGTCATCACACTGGAAAACACACAGATTGCCACCAAATTGCTCCTGGATTGTTGGTTTTTGAGGACATTCCTTAAATAGATCATCATCAGGAAGAAACCAGAAAGAAATGCAGAATTTATAAAGAAGTGTCTGTTGTTTAAATGCTGTGCATACATTTGCTGTAAGTCTTTGAACTTTATTAAAAGCTTGATTGTTTCTTACTATATAAAAATAGTGGCAGAAAAAAGTGGCAACTTGTATCAACACGTTGGTATATGATATCAGTTTAATATTTTTTATTTTTTATTTTTTATTAGATACAATGGCATCATCAGTCCCTGTATCCAAAGCTAGCACTGCCTTCTCTCTGGCTATGCTCAAAACGTTGAGTGAGGAGGACAGCACTGGAAATATCTTCTACTCTGGTCTCAGCGTCTCTGCAGCCCTCGCCATGCTGATGCTGGGGGCGAGGGGCAGCACAGCCACACAGATGTCAGAGGTAGAATATGCACATGTTGTGAAATACATACATGTTGACGCACCCATTTGGATCAGAGCATCTGCTTTCAAATATTACGGGAGGTGTGTGTGAATCTGTCTCATCAAGATAAAAAGAGGAAGGTGTGGTTTCAGGTGTTCGGGTAACTGAGTGCACAGTACAGTGATGTATGAAGGATTTAAAGGAGAGTAAAAGCAGGTTATTATGTATAGAAAGGAGATAATAATAGGAGATCACAAATATATTTTAATACATTTTTATAATGGGGATAATGGGAAGGTTTGAGGAGGGTTTCTAGTGGAAATTTTTTAACCCAGCAGGCAGAGTTGGGTGTGACAGGAGAAAGTGTCTGTGCAGGCATTCATTACTCACTTGGTTTCCCAGTGTCAGCAAAACAGGTAGGGAATGCTTGTGTTGGCTGAGGTTCAAGAAAGGAATAATGAATCCCACCGCACTGTGAAACATGACATCAAACAGGAGACTGTGAATGTGAATTTCAGTCAGGACAAGTTCCCGATTAGCTACTGGAATTAGACAAGAACAAGCCCAGGCAGGGTTTTTTCCCCCTGTTCATGTTTGTGACTTAAACACAAGTTGATATGGACGAAAAATTGACAAACATAAAATATAATTGTTAACTTCTCAACCAAAGTTGTTAAACTATAATACATTTTCAACCTTTATGTTTTTACTGTGTAAATGACAAAAATGATCAGCCTATCCCCTGCCCTGCTTTACACTACGTCCCATTTTTAAGCTCAACATTCTTGTTTGAATATTTTAATATTATCTGTAGTTCCATCCCACTTGTCAGATTTAGACCTAGCATTGCAAAAAATTTGATGAACTAATAACATATATTGTACTGAATAAACAACTCAACATTATAAGGTAAATGAGTTTCAACCATTTTGACAAGTTTACTTATCTTAATGAATTAATCTCATTCTATTCTGCCTAGGTTGCTGTTTTAGTTCAGTGTGTCTTAGATCTCTTTGTTTCATCACCCTCTCTGTTTAAGTCTCCCTCGTCGGTTCGTCATGTTGAGTCTGCGTGTCTTAACTTGTCGTGTTTCTTGTCTGCATGTCCTGTGTTGTCAAGTTCATGTCATATCTCCATGCTGTTATGTTTCCTGTTTTATTCTGAAGAGATCGGGTGTCCCATGTTCATTGTGTTTAGTTTCACTTCCCCTGTGGCATCATTATATTCATTCTAATCAGCTGTTTCCCCGTGTGTTTCCGCTTCCCCTGATCACCTCCTGTGTGCACTTAATCTGTGCGCTTTCATGCCTCATCCACTTTTAAAGGTTTTTCATGTTTATTTTCTCCATGTTCTTTTCTTTTATGTTTAGGATATTTTGTGTTTTCTTTCTAGTTTTCCCCGTTTCAGGTTATTGTTTAGCTTTGAATTGATTTCACCTTTCTTCATCATCATGATTTGTGTACAAAGGCTGGTTTTGCTCCTATCAGTATTATATGTGGAATATAAGCAGATATTGAAAGTGCAAATTAAAGCAGAAGAAAATTTGTGGCTTTAATAACAGTAGTAGTTAATATTTTAACACAGAATAAAGCCCAGAAACCCAATATTACAATAATAAGCTATTATGGTGATTCAGCTAAACCATTTAGACAAAGCTTCACAGTTCAAATGGAAAGAAACTAAAAACTGTTGCAAAATAAACCAGAGAGTTTCTCAAGACAAGAAATGGGATATTCTTCAATGGCCAAGTCTGTGATCACATGATCTTAATCTAGTAGAGATGGCTTTTAAGTTCCTGAAGACACTCATGGGGCTTGTTAAATATGTGTCAATGTCCAGTACAATACTGTATGAATATAATAATGTATTTCTACCTGAGAGTTTTTGGTTTGGTGCAGAATATGTACATGCATGGCTTCTAGGCTGCCGAATACTTTCATTACCATATATAACATAGAGGAGAGGTGAAATGTGTGTCCATAACCCGCCATATTTATTTAACCTTAAATTTGAGACTTTTTGTCATGTGGTTTTATTTTTTTTATTTCCAAAAGGGAAGCAGGTCACCACAGAATGTCTGCTCAAACATATTTATATCCAAATAACATGTGTAATGCATGTATGCATTCACATATTCACACACAAACAAACTATGAAAATGTCAACAGTGATTCCTCCCTCACAGGTCCTCGGCTTTACTGAAGTTGAAAAACCAAAGCCGGCAGAAGAGAAACCGCCACAAACACAGTCAGAAACGTCGTCGTCGTCGCTACAGACGCCAATGCAGACCCTGATGCAGACACGGATGCAGACGCAGACGCAGATTCGGCAGCAAACCAGACTGCCGGGCTATCTGCGCAAGGTGGTAACAAAGCGAATAACTGTGATCTGACAGGGAAATTCAAGGTTTTAGCTCCAGAGTATCTCACACCAAACTTCCCACCACATATATCCAACACATAGCTAACACCTTAAAACAGCATTAGTATAAAGCAGATTAATGCAGCAGGTGAAAAGTTCAGTGTCAACAAAAGCGTAACATCATACATGTTCTAAATGTTTAATAATTTAATATTAATAATTAATATTTGAGCGTTTATTTCGTCTGTTTTTCCTTTTTCTGTATTCTTTCCAAAAGATGCAGGAGGCCTGGTAAATACAGATTACTACTGAGCACTTCAGTTCCTTAAGACTTTGAATCCAATCATTCAGTGGATGTTAGTTATGAGAAAGCTATTACCAAATGAAAATAAACTAACATTGATACATTCAAAAAGGCCAATGCAGAGTTATGTTAGCCATATTAGCTGTCTTTCATCTGTCTTTTGTTCATCGTGGCTTTATAACACGTAAGTCTTCTCTGGCTGTTCACAGTGTCTGAAACCCCAGACTGATGAGGACGATGTCCACGCCAAGTTTGCCAAACTACTAACTGATCTGAACAAGGCTGATGCTCCATACTCCCTCAGTCTTGCCAACAGACTTTACGGGGATCGGTCTTGCACGTTTCTCGAGGTGTGAGAGGAAACCTGTTGTTACTTAGACTTACAATAAATGACTAACCTGTGCAGTGAACCCTGTTATAAGTCATGAGACCAAAGCCGTGCACGTTTCTCCCTGCTCCCTGGATTTTCACTTACACAAAGTTTAGGACTGTAATGCTAATTTAATACCATGAAGTTGGCTACATCTAGTCAGTAGTAGTGGTAGCACAAGTTCACTGTATTTACTGGAAACATTTCACAAGAATATGTTCTATTAAAAAAAAACAGACAAGTCTTCATTTATAGAGCATTTCCAGTTAAAACGCAGCAATAAAATAGAAAAATTTGTATTAAAAATAAATAACACAAAAACAGTAAAACTGAAAAAATAGAAATAGAACTAAACAGATAAAACTAAAATTAAATATAATCATTTTACAGTTTTATTTATTTACAGTTCATAACAAGAGACAAGGCACCATTTCTCTCCTTTGTGTTCCCGTCATCACAGCAGATTAAACTTTTAAAATATTTGCAAATAGTATAAAGAAATATATAAAGAAGTAAAACAGTAATCTTATTAATACTTAGAAATACTAAAATTTACATTTGTCAGCAAAAACTGCTGCCATCTGAATCGAAATGTTACAAACCAGCTCACCCACAAACTGTATTTTTCTATGCTGGCTACTTAAATCGGCATCCAACAAGCTATTTGCTTTAATCTTTTATTAGACAAAGGCTGACTGGTTAGTTCAAGCTTCAACTGCATCCAAAGGACTGAAAATATTTTAACACAGTGACTGAACTTGATTGAAGTCTCCGTAGTTTGTTGAATCTGTTTCGAGTGACTTATTTTCACAATTCCAGGAATTTTTAAAAGGCACCAAAAAGCATTACAACGCTGAGCTCGAGTCTGTGGACTTCAAAGGAAATGCAGAGGAGGCCAGGGTCCACATCAACAGCTGGGTGGAGAAGCAGACACAAGGTAAGCAATGTTCCCTCTAATTTTTCATGTGTCTGAGCGAACACACAAACTTCCTGAGTGGTCCCTTGGACCACTGTGAGCGACATTAGACGTGTGCACTGTGGTCACGCCAGCATCTAATCCATCCAAGTTTCATGGTTTATTAAAATAATCAAATTACAGCATTTACATTTATGTTAGACTACTTTTAATTAACTGCTTTATCCCACTTACAATGAAAATGTAAAAAAAATCTTGTTCATGACCTGTGTAGTATGTTAACACTATTGGAAGGAAAAATAACTTGAATTCCAATTTTGAAAACACAACTTTCTTTTTTTTTTTTATAAAGCTCTGACTTGTATTATGAGTCTGTGGTCTGTGAGAGAGTCCTGTAACTCTCTGTCTGCAAATACAGTATATAAAGACCAATGTTCGGCAATTAATTATATAGTTACTTCTTCAAAAAAAGTTATTCAGTTTGGCAAACAAAGTTTTTTGCAGCTATTTTTTTAAATGCAGCCAAGGCGTTTTTAAACAAACATTTCAAACTATTTACAGAACAATCAGCTGTTCTGCATCAAATTTGATGCCACACAAATTATTTGTGCCACTCCAAAAAATAATTCCTGTCCACTATGAGATAAAGGAGAACAACAGCCTGATACCTGCAGGCCTGACAACAGGAGATGTATCACTGCTGTAACACCTGTAACATTCAGCATCTCAAAACACCGCCGTCACTCCTAAAACTTCCTCCCGTTTCTTAACAATTAGATGCCACGTTGCCATATCATTTTTTGATTGGTCGACATGGTACTTTTTTGGACGAATAGGAAAGTGGGGTGGAGTTTGTTTTTGCTCACAGGCTTTCGAGCCTTTTCCTTATAAAACGCCATTTTTAACCGTTTCTTCCAGCAGTAAATTTAAACAACAATAGTATTCAGGAAGACTATGGAACGCCAGGACTGCCATAATGAATTAATTAAATACACCATTAAATAATTAATTAAATGTGTCAATAATTAATTAAAATGGGAAATAATTAATTAAATAAATAGTTATGACACATGTAATTAATTAATTATTGACACATTTAATTAATTATTTATGTATTTCACATTTTAATTAA